TTCTATTTATCTGCTCCTTCAATTCCTTGCATTATTTGTCTTTTTTTTTTTTTTGATAAATCAATGAATTATTGATCAGCTTATCAGTTCAGTATTGATAAATTTTGCATTATTATCTTTTGTAATACTAAAAGATAACAAATGTAAATGCTAAATTACAAAAAAAAAAAAAAAAAAGTGAATGAAATGAAACGTACATTTTGATTAAAAGCAATTTCAAATTTATTTGTATTAGCAATTGTTGTTGGATTAATTGAGTTATTAAATAAATTAATTTCAGATGTCACAGATGCTATGTTCAATGATAAATTGTTTTGTGATTTTTCGGTTACCTTTTTCGACTTTTCACCTAAATTATCCTAAAGAAAGGAAAGAAAAGAAAGAGAAAAAAAAAACATTCAAAAATTCTGTTTAAAAAATACTTTAAAATTAAATTGATTAAAATTCATTTGTTTCATTTTAGAAAAAGTATAATAAAGAAAATTAGGCAAAATGATCTATGATAAATATCATAATAGCTTTACGTCCTTGTTTTGATAGTAATACTACAAAATTTAATAATCAATCAATGATTCTCGAAATTTCGAATATTTCTGAAATTGTTTGAAAAAAAGAAAGTTAAAAATAAAATTATTGATACCAGGTTCGATGTAAATTTAACAGCAAGAAATGATAATTCTGGTGCTAATACTTTGTTTTGTGTTTTCATTTCTTTTGAGGATGATTCTTCCCATTCATATCGTTTCTTCAAAAAAAGGAAACCTAATTAAAAGTATTAATATTGGATTATTTAAAATTTAATCTTCAATTTTATGAAGACAACTTTTCATAGAACTTTTCAAAGTTTTAATAGAATGTAAGATTTTTGAAATAAATGGCATATAGCTTGAATGCATTCAACGAAATAAAATTGAAATCAAATTTTAAAAAATTCAAAAAAGATAATCAAAACTTTACTTCTATAAAATTTTGTGAAAATCCATGTGGTATTGCATATGATAAACGTCGTAACCATAGCAGTACGGTTAGAAGAATACCAAAAATGATAATTAGTATAATCGTTGAGCCAATAAATGTTTCCTCAAATCTTATCAATTGCTTATCATAGTTGTGCAATTTTAGAAATGCTTGATTAATTAAATCAATGATAATTTGCATTTTCATATGAAATCTCAGAAACTGTTGACATGTTGAAGATGAAATTGGAACATTGATTGATGTTGATTGCGATCTAAATTTTGATAATTATTCATATTAAAAATAATTGATAATTAGGTGGAAGCATTATTGAATTTACAAATTTAACTATAAAATTAAAAAAAAAAAAGGAAAAAAAAATGTAACTGTTTTCTTAAAGAAGCAAATGCTATTCTTATTGATCAGAAAATCTTTAAAAATTGCAAAAAAAAAAAAAAATTGTGATAATGATAATTGAGTTCATCATTATTTTCTTCAAATTTAAAATTTCACTGATAAGATTGTTGCTTTTTTTGAAGATAAAATTTCAAGATGAAATAATTTTTTTTGCTTGCTATCTAAAAATTGAACTATTCATATTAATTTTTTTTTTTAAACCCATTTTAACTATCATTTTAAATTTCAGTTAAATGTTATCAAATGTTCATCAGGAAATCCGGAAAATGAAATACATATTTCATTTTCCGGATTTTCCAGAATGAGCAATAGAATTGATCTATTGCTGTACACAGTATCGAGCGACTCATCACATCGAAGAAATTGTCGCACAAAGGGATGTAAATATTTTTGAATCCATAATTTTGGCATAGCCTTAAAGAAGCGTTGCATCGATAGAACAGCTATTTGGCCAAGTAATAAACCGAGCACTTCTGAAATCATTTTCAATAATGATTGTATGGTTTTGAATTTGCTTATTTAAACAATATTCATTATATGCCTTTTGTTTAATTAAGAATAAATTTTAAATAGTTTTAAGTTTCTAATCTTAAATAGTTTTAAATATTTAAGTTCAAATAAAATGAAATTTTGAAAAATGCATCAGCAATTTATTTGTGAAAGTGCAATTGATTATTTCTCAAATAAGTAAAAATAAGGTATTCGAATGAATAAACATAGCAGATCTGTTTTTTAAGATTATTATTAAACTGGAAAAAAATTTTAGATTACAAATTATCATTAGAAAAAGCATCATTAAGTATATAATATTGCTCAATTTACACTTTTATTTATTTATTTTTTTTTTTGCATAATTTAAAATTAAAAACTAAAAATTCCATCGTAGCAATTTTAAGGAATAGAGAAGTTTAAATTAATTCTTTTAATATTTTTTCCTGAAAATACTATCGTAATCGCTTCAATGAAATTATTTATGAAAATAGTAACAGTTAAGATAAATGCAATTTACATAACATAAATGGAATAACTAATCAAAATAGCTAATCAAAAGTAAAATCATTTCATTTTCTTCAACGTTCAATTAATAATTGATGATTTAATTGATAAGATGATAATCAAAAATGTTGCAAAATTATTTCATGATATATTATAAAATTTACTTCTTTTTTAAAATCTTTTTTTTTTTCTTATTTTATATAGCAAAATAATAATGAAACTATTCATTTCATTTTTCTCTTTATTTATTTCTTTGAAAAATGTTCAGAAGAAGCAGAAGAAGAAGCATATACTCTCGTTGTATTATCCAATTTTTGCCTCACTTCTATATTTCAACTTTTGCTTAACTTTTCTTTTCAAATTACTGCTTGTGACTTATTGATCTTATCATATGGAGCACTTAGTTCGCCGCCACTCTATCTTAGCTTCTCATTCACTTTTCAAATTATCGATCTAAGAATCACTCATCCTCTTCAAATTTCTCCATTATTTCATTTCTTATAAAATTTAATTCAGTTAGATAGCAGTATATAAGTGGTACTCATTTCATTTACTTCCTTTTACTCTTCTAAGTATAATCTCTAGTCTGTATGAGTATAATAATGAAAATTAAATATTAACGAAGATACCTCAATAACTACACGTGATAATTTGTGTTTACTTCTATTCATGTATATTGACGTACGTGTATATCAGTTATAACAGTAACGTGTAATTTTTTCAAATTATTTCTCTTCATCGATAACAGGAAGAGGTGGAAGAATTTTACAATATCTTTCATGCCTTTTATCCCTTATAATGTCAAATAATTCATTAACTACAACAACTCGATTGAGGATAAAGGAACCTGTGTATACGTCTGATAAACGTGCAAAATTCACGCAAAGAGAAAGTAAAAAGTTAGTTCTATGTTGAATATTAAGCATTATTTTCTAGTTTCTCTTCATCGAAATTTCATTTATGTCTGATTTATTCATTTAACAAATATTTTAATTCATCAAATGTGCTAATTACTTTCACTTATTTTCATAGCAAATTTGTAATAACTCATCGTAAACTATTGAATTACACACTCATTTATCGTTTTTTTTTTCATCATAAAAGGAATATGTTGGAACTTCTTTGAGGTTAAAGCTTATTAATACAACTCAACCTCACCCAATAAAGGCCCAAATCTTCATTATTGCTTCCTTTGACGGCTAAATTGTCCATTTGTTGGGATCAACTCAGTGCTTTTTTAGGAAGCATCCGTGTCGAATCGAACTTAATTAATAAAAGTTGGAGCAGAATCTTCACCACTACACCATCGAACTTAGGTTGAGATATAGTTAGCTAGCTGGAATAAATAATTTTCAATAAAAAATTCTGAATAATGCCGAAATGATTCGAAAGACAGAAATGATAAGATAGTTTCAGATGGATACGATTCTGTACAGTGATAGGATATATATTTTTCGTATCATTACCAGCGACATCTTTGAGTATTTACTATGTATGGGTATGGGATCCTGATTATATCAGCAGGGTAAGTTAGATCATCACAAGATTTACTCTTTGATCGATTTTATCGATGGGAAAATTCTGAGATGAGGTGATCAATAAGTCTCAGCAATCATAATTTATAACTAAACGAAAATTTGTATTCTTGTACGCGTGACATTACCTTTTTTTCGGTGGGTGGGGGAGGGGGGGGGGAGAGAAGGAGGACTAGTTATTTTATAATCTGTGATGTTAATTTAAAAGTGAAAATAAAATTTCAGTTTCCACCTGATAAAAATAGAACATTGAAAGTTGACTATGCTGTCAAACCAATGTCATCATCAGTAAGACAAGGTAGTCGATCAAGGTACAAATTGGATCTACTTCGAGAAAGCAACAGTAGCAGCAGAATTACCAAAAATCTGATTAGAGCTTCCGTGTATCCTTCATTTACCAAAACAACTGAAAGGTATTTGGAACAGAGATCACATAAAATGGAATCATCAAATACAGCAGGTTTCTTCGATTTCCACACTAATATTTTTATGAACTTTTTTAAAGTAGTAGAAATGACGTACATCTGTGTTTAATATTTAAAAAAAAAAAAAACCTTTTTCACTGTCATCATAGAAAAAAGATTAACTTGAAAATTATTTTCCACTTAATAGACCTAATAAAAACTTGTCCATTATATTAATTCTAAAAATTACAACTTAATTCCCCTTCTTTCTTTTTTCTTTTTTGAGGAAAAATATTTGGATTTTGAAATTCTAACTTTGAAATCACTACTTGCTAAAAGTTCACTAAATGGTCATTTCAGATCAGCGATTGAAAATGAAACCAAACTGATTACAATATGCATCACTTATTTCCAACATCAATCCATGATATCCTTTCTAACATCGATTGTAAAATTAACTGAAGAGATTAGGAACTGTACGATTTCGAGAATTCACTTCTGCTATCTCGTAACTCCATGGGTGCAAATGTTATCCTTTAATGCACAGTCAAATAAAAAATTATTCAGATAAAATTGAATTCCATATAAAAATCATAAAATGAATCATACTTCATAAAATTGAACTCATTATTCTATTCGTTCGTTCTCACTAGACAACTCCAGCATCATCATGTCGTCCATTCGGTTTTAATCATAATGACCTGGATCAGTTTAAGCATTTCATTACAAAACGGAAAACAGGACAAATACATAAATGCATGGTGAAATGGAAATTTTTCGGGAACATATATCCACTAGTACGTTCGCAAAATTTAGCTTTGCCTCTGGATCCAATTTGATAATTATTAACATTCTCTTAAAACTTTGAATCGCTGATCTATAATGAGTTAGGTGAAATCCTGTAATTCCTCTCTAAACGCTAAGGATTTTGTAACAATTAAGCACTATTAACTCTTTTGAGTAAAAAAAATCTACATTTCAGACTAAACATTATACACTGAATAAATTTTCTAGCTGTGTACTTGATTCTTTATATCCGCTCAAAGAAGCTTAACAAAAACATTATGCTGTCCCATGCGAAGGAATAAGTTTCGAAATATGGAATACATGAACTGAAATACAGAAATTCTCGAGAAATCAACACGAAAACCGATTGTGACTTAGCTAAAACAAAATTTGTATACTTCATGTCATCTCAATTTTGGAAATTGCATTGTAGACGGAATAATGAAATGAATACAAAAAGAAATTAAAAAAGACATTAAAATGAAGACAAATATTACAATTATTAATAAATGTTAAAAAAAAATGATACGAATTTAAAAAAAAAAAAACAAGAGGAGATAATCATTTGATGTGAAAAATAAAATTTGAAGTCAACTCATAGTAATATCCAAAAGTGATCTTATTAATTCTTCGATCCATTTCATAATTTTTCATCTCTTTTCCATTCTCATACCTCCAAAAATTTCAAATTTTATATTCTGTGAGAAGGGTGTTTAGCGCAACTTCAACGGCTATCAGTTATTTGGAATGAATTTCGATAAATTAGTTAGTTATTCAAACAGTTTAAAAACTTTCAGAGTTATAATTTTCTAAAATTTAGGGTGGAAAATAATTAATAGTAAGTAAATTTCTCACTTATTTTTCATTTAATCGCAGTCAAATCTTGCTATCTCATCCGGTTTACTGCAGTTGTGGACAATGATCATTGAATAATCTATTATATATTAAGTATAATATCGATAATTTAAATTCATGATAATAAATAACAGTGATGGGTAGTAATGATAATAATGACAAAAATATAGAATAATCATGATAGCAATAATGAATAATAACAAGAACTTGAATTTGATTGGTTGTTCGCAATTTTTATAAACAACTTAATAGTAATCTCAAAAAAAGCAAACAATATAATCAATAATCTATGAAAATTTTCCTCCCCCACTGTTCATTTTGTCATTATCCACACCTAATTTGACATGGACAAAGATTGCTGCTGAAAATTGAACTACGATAACGAAAGAATCGAGGGAAAAGTCCATCATCAGCTAATAGAAATGTAAAACTTGAAAATAAAATTAACCTTGATGACGTGGCCTTAATACCTTCTAATTTCTTCGCCAGTGGTATCTTGAAAAACAATTTTTTGTCCATAGTTTTCACTAATTTCATAAGATCCTTGAAAAATAATTTTCTTGTCAAAACATTCTCTTTTTAAAATAAATCAAGAAACTAAAATTTTGACATTCACAAAATAATATTTTAGTAATATAATATTTATCAAATAACAACGAATGGGTTTATTAGAAAGAACTAGCAACGGTATGAAATGCTTCAAAATATTGAACTTTTGCTAGAATTATAATCTATGGAAGATATAAAAGGAAGAAATTATAATTAACAACTTGCATTTTTCCTGTTTTCCATCATTTTCAACATTTCGTGGCGTTCCACCAATTCACTAAACATTTCTGAGCGCATATGTTTGCATCTAATTGTCGCACTTTCTATTCTATGGAAATATTGCATGCAGGAAGAATGATAATGTGCAAAATATAAATATTAATAAATTTTTCAACAGTCATAGTGAAACACAAATCTCGAATAAAACAACATCTTTAAGATCTATCTCAAAGATAGCTGGCAATATGCAGTGCACCAAGGAATAAACAGTAATTTAGCTAAGCATGTAATCTTATATTCTTGTGTGCTACACTTTAATAATACAAACTGCCATCAAATTTAGCAAAAACTTGCCGTGAATTTTCTTCAATTCGTTACTCAGTCGTGTTTGAACAAATAAATAGTTTACCTCGACTGAGATCTAATTAAAGTGCTGGCTAGAAATTCGTGTGTTTTTGTACTCAACAATTTAACAATATAATACTTCTGAAAAATAAGACAAATTAAAAAAAGTTTTCAGCAAAAGAAAAAGTAGAATTTACCACTTATCACCAAACAAATAAAGTAATTAACAGAAAGAGAGCTGAGCAGATGAAATTTAAATAAAAAATTTCTTTGTAAATACTTACAGAATTCCAATCTGTGTAATCTTTTATTCTCCTATATATTCGTCTTAAAAATATGTTTGACACCGAATTAAATTTAAAATCGCTTCGTTGAGAAAAATTTCAAAATGATCATGAACATCTCGAGTTTTTTCAATTGACTGATCAGAATTCTCTATGCACCTAAACATGATTTTGAAATATTTGTTTTAATTTGCAATATTCGAGAAAAAGAGACGTAAAAGCAGTACGAAACCATATTGCCTGGTCAAACAACTGTAAACACTGAATAGAACGAAATGATCTCAGCCCGGTATACAATAAAACACTACTGCTTTGTATGATAATATTAGCAATACTTCATAATTTATACCTTTAAATATTCAACCTTTTTTTTGTCAAAATGAATTTTTATTTGTTACTGCTAACTATAACTAATATGAGCTGAAATAAACCAAACTCATGTAAATAATAAAGTAGGGTGCGAGAAAATAATATGATTCGATAGACAGTTTAATTAAAAAACTCTTCTTGAATGAAATAAAACTGAGCAATGAATGGAGAAAATTTAGAAAAAAAATAAGTTTTTGAACAAACTGTTAGCAAAATTCTTTTTGAAAATACACATTAGAAATAAAGTGGAACTGCTTACTTTTCGAGTGTTATCGCCATCTCATATAAGCATAAGTCACACGAAAATTTTATTGCGATTCCAAAAGTATATAATTATAGCTGAATTATCAAGCTGCACACAAATGAAAACACGTTCTAGAACCAAGTTGCTCCAGTTGCTCCAGAATGTCGCCAGTAGCAGCCTAAAATAAGCATTGGAAGTTAGAAAATCTAAAAGTTACAAACCTTTGAAAAAGACGAAAAGCATGCGGTAAGTTTGAAGCAACAGAAATGCGTGCAAAAAACAATGTTAGCATAAAATGAATAAGGAGATGTGAATAATAAAAAATTACCTAATACAAAAGCAAGTGGGATTAGTAAAAAAAGCATACAGTTAATGAAATTAAAAGAAAAATGAGTGCAAAAATAATGCTAATAAAAAAAGGGAGTGACAGTAAGTTAGAAAAGCATGAAAAAAAAAATACAAAAAAATGTGTGCTCATCAACAACAAATAATATGATTAAGTTACGAAAAGCATGCAGTTAATAGAAATAGCCAAACACTCATGCAATAACAATGTTAATAAAAAAACGAGTGAGACATGCAGTTAATGGAATTAAGAAATGCATGCAAAAACAATGTTAATAAAAACAAGTGAGAAAAACAAAAAAAAAATGCGTAAATACAAAAAAAAATTGTGCTCATCAACAACAAATAATATGATTAAGTTACGAAAAGCATGCAGTTAATGGAAATAACCAAACACTCATGCAATAACAATGTTAATAAAAAAAATGAGTGAGAACGACAAAAAAAGCATGCAGTTAATGGAATTAAGAAATGCATGCAAAAACAATATTAATAAAAAAACGAGTGAAAATGACAAAAAAATTTGCACCAAAATAATAAATATTGTTGGAAAAGTTATGAAAACATGCAGTTAATAGAATTAGGAAATGCATACAAAAATAATATTAAGAAAAAGAAGTGAGAACAACGAAAAAAGCATGCATAAATGCAAAAAAAAAATGTGCTCATCAATAACAAATGATGTGATTAAGTTACAAAAAGCATGCAGTTAATAGAATTAAGAAATCATGCAAAGACAATGTTAATAAAAAAGAAAAGAAAGACGAGTTAGATTAATGAAAACAAAAGCATGCAATTGATTGAATAAAAAATATCTTGTTAACAGCAAATAGTACGAATAAAGTATAAAAGGCATGCAGTTACCAGAACAAACCGAAAAATGCGGAACAGTGTTAATAGAAAAAAGGAAAATATCAACAAATGGAAAAAACAAAAAAAAAAGCATGCAGTTAATAGAGTTAACCAAACATGCATGCAGAAATAATGTTAATAAAAAACGAATGAGAACGACAAAAAAAAACATACATTTAACTATATAAAAAAAAAAATGCACTCATTAAAGAATAAATAATATGAGTAAATTACAAAAAGCATGCAGTTAATAAAATTAAAGGAAAAATGCATGCAAAAACAGTTTAATAGAAAAAAGATAAGAAAATAATAGTAAATGGAAAAAAAATATAAAAGAAACATTGGTTAATAAAATTGACTAAAAAAAAGAAACATTAAAAAATAAAATTGAAAAATGCATGCAAAGACAGTGTTAATAGAAAAAAGGAAAATATTAGTAAACATTAGCAAAAAACAAGAGAAAAGCATGCAATTAATAGAATTAAAAAAAATTCATGCAGAAAGAATGTTAATAAAAAACGAGTGAGATCAACGAAAAAACCATGAAAAAAAATTAAATATAAGAAAATATACTATTAACAACAAATACTATAGTAAAGTCACGAAAAGCATGCAGTTAATAGAATTAACCAAAAACATGCAAAAACAGAGTTAGTAAAAAAAAAAGGAAAATAATAGCAAATGGAATAATACAAGAAAAGCAGGCACTAAAATGGAATTAACTAGAAATGCACGAAAAACAGTGTTATAGAAAAAAGGCAGAAAAATAATAGGAAATGGAAAAAGCAAAAATAAGCATGCAGTTAATAAAATAAAAAAGATCGTTTGCAATAGTCTCAGATGGAGTGAATGAAGCTTACAAAAATCATACAATTAGCTGAAAAAACCAATTGCATGCAAAAATTAACAAAAAATAATTTTAAACTGCTAATAATACAAAGAATTAAAAATAATATTAACTAACTGTGATAAACAAAAATAACGAAAATGGCATGCAAATAATGAGAATTATTATTTAAAAAAAAAGAAAATAAAAAATAACTTAAGCACAAGAAAAACAAAGTAACAAATTATAAGTGCAAGCATTAAAAGTCAACTGCAAATATTGTTCGAAGTTAAAGACAAAAAACATTTTTGTTAATTCAATGTATTCAATCAATTTCATAGCAATAAAAAATTTTTTAAATTTTGAGAAATAAAAGGACTAAGAAAATCCAATTTAAAAATAGAAAATTCAAATTTCATCCAGAAAAGAGCGCAAAAATTTGATAATTCTTAAAAAGAAAAAAATTAAAAAGCAGAATTTTAAAAATAGAAAATAAACTGTTTTTAAAAACTTTTTAAATCCTAAAGCTCTACTGATTCAGAAAAATATTTCTGAAATTGAAGAAAGAAATCAAATATTTGGGAAATTCTAAATTTTAGAAGATCCTCCACCTGAATTTCAGAAAGCACATTTTAATATAATTGTTTATATAATATATTAACGAAGGTAGGTATACTTCTATACCTCCCTTCGATCACCTCAACCCCTCCCACTCCCCAAACATAAAAAAAAAAGATAATTACAAGAATAGGCACCAACTCGTAAATAGCTCAAAAAAGGATCGTTAAATTGATGCTCAGTTAATAATTCAACGTATTAACAACTCATCGCATTTAAATTAGAAGAAAATTTAAAAATTACTGTGTTATTCGAAATATATTCAAATGGAGAAATTTGCGCCGATGTAATTGCTTAACAGCCAAAAAAAAAATAAATAATCCTCAAGCGTTAAAAGACGAAAGTAACTAAATTACGGGTTGGTGCTCTCACGCATACTTGAATAAAGAATTTTAACACAGTTAGATATCATTAAATTAACAATGAAAATTTTCACTGAACAAAAATAGTAGACAAAATAACATAAACAGTAAAAAATAAACAATATTTAAGAAATTTAAAAAACCAAAAAAAAAGTTGTTAGTAACAACTTTAAAATCATTAAAAACATTAAATTATTGCAACATTACTTGGATGAAAAACGACAATAAGTTTTTAGTAAAAGTTAACTATCCACAGAGAGTTAATAAAAAAAAAACCAAAAAAAAAGTAAATAAATAAATAAACAACGAAAAAAAAAGACAGCTAATTCCAAGGTAATTTGGTTAAAGCGCGCTATGTTTATTCTTTAGCAAGTTATGTTCAGTTCTGTGATAGCAAAAAAAAAAATTCCCATTCAAAAGTTTTTTGATTTTACTCTGCCACTACAAGAGCTAGTGTAAAACAATTAAAAAAACTTCAATCTTTTCCATACTTTGAAATCAGCTGTTTTAAATAACACAAAAAAAGGAAATAAAAAGCAAAAAAATTTTTTATTTTATTTTTAATTTTTTTAATTTTTTGTATTTTTTTAATCATTTTCTATTTTTTTTAATTTTTTTTGAATTTTTTATGTTTTTTATTTTATTTATTTTTTTTGAATCTTTTTTTGTATTTTTTTAATTTTTTCTTTTTTTTTCATTTTTTTAATATTTTTTTATTTTTTTGGTTTTTTTTCGTTTTATAAATATATTTTTTTATTTACAAAACTCCCTCAGATGTATTTGGTCGGAAGAGGATGGAGAACTGAAGCAGACAGCGACAGGTTTGCTGCGCGGGGAAGGCCAGGCAATTTCATTAGCCTGAAAAAAAATTCACTGATTAGAAAAATATAAGATCCACTTCATAAATATTTTCTTTTTCATGATCATTCAATTTTTTTTTTTAACTTTTAGATCTCACTTCTTCAATGTCACTAGTTTCTTACCTGGAATGAAGAGGTGGTGGGCATCCTTTTCTCTTCCCACCAAATCAAGTCTTCGGCGCTTCACCTGTCGTTCGTTTATTACGGCCGCACATGCCCTTGGGCACCAATCGAGGGCATGGAGCTCTACCGCTGCCGTTCTCTGTGCGGTCGTAAATTCGGGTGGCAGCAAGAGGTTGTGTCCACAACGGGAGCAAAAACCTAGAATATATAATGTATTACATCGATAATGAGTCTAATGGCTTTAAATAAATCAAATGTAGCAATATTTTTAAAAACTAATTGGAAATTCCACTTCAAAATACTTACCATCTTGCTTATGTGCTTTTGAGGCGTGAATACGCCACCCTTTCAGTGTTTCAAACTGCCTGCCGCAGAGACCACATACTGAAAACAGAAACGATAAGAAAATATTACAGCACAAATTGTTGTTATTATTGCACAAATCGCTATGAAAATGGAAATCATAAATATGATTTTATCAATAAGAAATCAAAAATATGATTACATTCCTTCTACAAATTACAGCACATAATCATTTCCAAAGTTATTAAAATTATAAATTACCGATATTTCTGTTTCTTTCTCCTTGAGCTATCGTATATGGCTCCACCTGCGGCACTTCCAACTCCATTCGGAGTTGCTCCGGAAGGTCTTCTAAGTCGGCTGGATGGAACTCTTCCGGTTGTGCCGCAGCCAATATTTCCTGCGTGGCAGGAACCGGGATTCTGATCGTCCTAGTTCGTCTGAAACAAGCTTATATTTAATGGAAATTATTTGGCAGAGAAAGTTAGTATCTGCCTAATTAGCAAATTACTTTGCTATACAATTGCTGGTAAAGCTTAAACTTACAAGACGAGTTCACGTACTGCTTCCACCGGTTCCGTGATGTCACTCGTCTCCATTGGTACCCCCGGTACCTCAGGCTCTTCTTCTTCTTCGTCTTCCGGGAGAGGGGTCCACTCTGCTTCTAATGGCCAGTTCTCGGCCTCATCACCAGTTTCATTTTCAGGCAAAGGAGCCCACTCTGCCTCTTCTTCATTAAATTCCGG